GTTAATTCCCTGTGGGTTCGACTCTGGGCATAAATACTCAGATTATATTTGCAACGTCCGCGTGTCCTTTTATAAGGCATAGTTGGGCGTGATCAGTCATAATTACGACATCAGAGCCCCCACTGTCGCCTTAGCAATTGCGAGGCTGGTGCTCACAATTGCGATAACTGGGCACCAGCAACACCAGCAGTTCAATATCATTTCAAAACCTTCCAAAATATGTCTGAAACTCAAACGAGCCCTCGAGGTTCAAACCAAACATCCACACAAGTCTAAACAATCATACGAACTCGCTCGCGTAATCAAAACACAAAAATAAATCAAAACTACGAATCGAACACTAAAACGCATATTTCAAAGTAAATTTCATGAACTTCTAGAATTACAACTAAACGTCCGAATCATATCAAATCAACTCCAAATGATACCAAATTTTTCAGACAAGTTCTAAATAGCATATCGGACCTATTTCAACTCCCAAAATTAAATTCCGGACTCGATAGCTAAAAGTCAACCTACAGTCAAACTTTTCAACTTCAAATTGTCAAATTTCGGCAAAACTAGCACCAATCAACCTACGGACTTCCAAAATCAATTCTGGGTATACACCCAAGTCCGAAATCACAATACGAAGCTATCAGAGCCATCAAAATACTATTCCGATGTCGTTTTTCCAAAAGTCAAAGTTTGATCAATATTTCTAATTTAAACATCTAAGTCAAGAATCAAATGGCCTGAATCAATCTGAAAGCTTCCAGGAACGAAATTAACCAACCCCGCAAGTCATAAAAGTATAAACACACATGTGTGAAGCATTAAAAGGGATAATGGGGTGCAATTACACAAAATGACCGGTCGGATCGTTACAACATGCCAAATGTACAAGTCAAATCATGAATGTCACAATACCGTATAGCATGAGGAAAATGCATCTCTATGCCTACATGCCAAGTATGCATGTCAAATGAATAATTTCACGGCGATATTCCCAGGTACTCTCACCCTCAAACATACTCAAGCTCTCTGTCTTAAATGCCCACTTCATCACACACACACTATCACTCAGCAATGTACGGGTGTCTGACTCATAAGCCCTCACCAAAGCACGTGTAAATATATCACCAAGCCTACTCTCACTGCTGGTATGTCAGGCTCCGGAGGGGCAGATCTTTCCCAAGCTCTAATATAAGGTCTATAAGGCCTGCTCCGGCGTGAATCCGAATCCACAATAATAAATAAGCCAATAAGGCCTGTTGCGGCGTACAACCCGATCTCAGGCATTAATCTCTCAAGTATCAAGGGCTCACAATCTCGTACCACTCAGTCCAAACAATAATAACATGTGATGTAACAGTGAATGATAAATAGAGTTTGAGATATGATATGAAAATGATGAACCATGACTAAGTATATAATTGTAGTTAAAGCAGATAACTCGAAACAACAAAAATAACCTCATTAGGTCTCAACCGAATAAGCACATAGCCTAAACATGATTTCTAACATGATTCACAGCTCATATAATCAAACAAGTAGGGAGAACATGGATGTAACAAAATATAACAGCAAAACAAGTCCGGTCATAGTCTAATAATCAACTAGAACATGATTTTTTCGGTGCACGCCCACACGCTCGTCACCTAGCATGTGTGTCACCTCATTACATCTCTTATAACATAATTCCCATGGCTAAATACCCTCAAATCCAAGTTTAGATATGCTACTTACCTCGAATAAGTCAAATCCAATACCAAGCAAGCCAAACCATACTCTAGAAATGCTTTCCCATGCTTATCGACCTCCGAACGGCTCGAAACTAGCCAAAAGCAACTCAAAAACATCAAATAATATGCCAAAGGAAACGAACCCAATCGATAAAGGTTGAATTTTTAATCAAAAGCCCAAAGCCAACCAAAAAGTCAAACACGGGCCTGCACCTCGGAACCAGACAAAACTTACAAAATTTGACAACCCATTCAATTACGAGTCCAACCATACTAATTTCACTCAAATCCGACTTCAAATCGATGTTCAAAACTCAAAAATTCACTTTAGGAAAATTTAGACAAAACCCCCCTAATTTCTCTTTCAAAACCATCAATTAAATGCCAAAATCGAATATGAAATCACGGAATATAATCATAATCGAGTAGAAAATACTTACCTCATTGCATGTGGTAAAAGTTGCCTCCAAAATCGCCCAAATCCGAGCTCCATAACTCAAAATGTGATAAAATATCTGAAACCTTCGAAATAGAGTACTTATAATTCACTTAACAGTCATACCCATCGTGATCGCGGGATTTCCTTCGCGATCATGAAGAACAAACTCTACTGCCCAAAAAATGCACTACGGGTTCGCGATACAGACCACGCGAACATGATGCCCAAACAAACCAAAGCTCCACGAACGCAACATGACTTACGCGAACGCAATTAAGGATCCATCAGCTGCCAGCTCTCCTTCGTGATTCTACACGAATGCGATGTGAAGTCCGCAAATGCGATCAAAAGATTAACCAGCTCCAGATTACACATCGCGACCGCATCCACATTATCGTGATCGCAATGGCCATCTGAGACATCAGAAAATCAGCAATTCAAAATGAAAGGAAATGGTCCGAAATCGATCTGAAACTCACCCGAGTTCCTCGGGAGCCCGTCCGAACATACCAACAAGTCCCAAAATATAAGACGGACTTACTCGAGGCCTCAAATTAAATATAACAACATCAAACCCACGAATCGAACCTCAAATAAAACTTAATGAACTTTTTAACTTTCAATTTTCAATACTCGCGCCGAATCATACCGAATCACCTTGGAATGACCTCAAATTTTGCACACAAGTTTCAAATGACATAACGAACCCATTCCAACTCCAAAAAAAATAGTTCGGACCCGATGTCATCAAAGTTAACTCTCGGTCAAACTTATGAACATTTTAAACCTTCAAATTTCTAACTTCCGCCAAATAGTGCCGAAACCTTCTAGAAACACCCAAGTGCAAATCCGGGCATAAGCCCAAATCCAAAATCAGCATCCGGACCTAACGTAACAATTAAAACTCTGTTCCGGGGTCAAATACACAAAAGTCAAACTTGGTCAACTCCTCCAACTTAAAGCTTTCTAGTTGAGAATCATTTTTCGAAATCAATCCCGAATCACCTGAAAATCAAAACCGATGATTTACATAAGTCATAGTACATCCTATAAAGCTACTCATGACTTCAAACAGCTGAACGGAATGCAAATTCTCAAAACGACCTATTGGACCGTTACAAAAATGGTCTAGAAGCATTTCGATGCCAACCTCACGCTAGAGGTAGCACACCACAATCACTTATGACGACCCTCTTTGTGGGACAGTCACGTCTATCAGTCTCCTGAGACTCGATCACATTCACAACGTCCATGCCCTCCAACTCTTGCCCGAAAACAACATACCTCTCTTCTGCAATCAATATATGAATGTACTCCTTATATTATTTGATGTAAAGTCAAAAGATTTCTAAATAAAGTTCCTTTGTGATACCATAAAAATAATTTGATCAATCACTAGTAAGTCAACTTCCACTGGATAAATATGACTAAGAAAACACAGGTGGCAGAAATTTTCCCATGATGATCCCCTTTTTATTTCTGGTTCTAAATGTTCAAGGAGCATATGTGAAGGAAAACATCTTCTGTTAATATATTTTTTATATTGATGTGCAGTCTTAAAGACAAACATTTTAAGCATGTTAAGTAGAACATTGTAGGAGATACACAATCATAATAGAGAAATGAACTTGCAAGAGAGATGTCATGTCTAGTCCTGCTTAAGTCGGTATGAAACAGAAGAACCTCATTGAACATCGATCCGTATATATCATCAAAAATTTATTAGTGGAGACAACTTTGCTTCAGAAAATAAAAAGTGAACAAAAATTTCTCACCAGAAGGAAAAAATAAATAAAAAGTAAATGAGAAGCAACAATTATGAAGAGAAAATAACAAGCAACAAGCATGTATTTCTTTATATGACCTTTTTATCTATTATTTAAGATGTTGGAAAATATTATTGGGTCGGGGCTACCCGTAAGGGATGCTAGAAGACCCACGATCCCATTAATTATTCCTCCACATAATACCCTAAAGCTAGCCTATATAAACACCACATGGATGTTTAAGAGGGATTCTCTTGCATGAGAAATAGAACGGCTAGGGTTTGGAGGAGTTCTCTGCATCTGGAGGATTTTAGGCTGTGGTCGAAGGGGATTCATCCACTTCGTGAGGATTCCCGACGAATGGTGACATAAGTTGCTCGCCACCGATTTGAGACTATTAGTGTGAATCGTGGACCGGGAAGAGGAATTGAAAATAAGCGGCGACTTTTGTATTGCCACAAGAAAAATCGTAACTGAAGGTTATTTGTGGCGACATATGTAGTCGCCACTAAAAGAACATATTTTGTGGCGACAGAGTTGACAAAAGGTTGGAAAAAACGCAACAAAAAATTATTCCATAAGAACAAATATTAGATGGGTCGCCACTATATATTCACCTTTAGCAGCGACTATGGTCGCCACAAAATATATTTATGTTCAGTGGCAAGATTATGTTGCCACTATAAATGTCCTTTAGTAGCAACTAAAATTGCCACAAAAATATTTATGTTCAGTGGCAAGATTATGTCGCCACTATAAATGTCATTTAGTAGCGACTAAAGTGGCCACAAAAGTTTTAACCATAAAAGGCACAATGTTTTCTGTAGCGACTAAAGTCGCTGCAAAGGAAATTGACCTTCTGTGGCAACTTATATATCGCAACAGTTACTAATTTTTTGACAAAACTATGTCGCCACTAAAAGTTATTTTCTCAGCAATTATAACGACCAAAATTATATACATTTCCATGCCAGTAGGAACCTAATTCTCTAAACTTTCATATAGAGATATTCGTATCAATTGACTATCAATATTAAAGCAACCAATAATGCTTGACAAACACCAAAAGAATTTCACAAGCCGAATATTATAAATATTATCATTACTAAAAAGTCAATTACTTATATACTACCTGACACTTCATTGTGCATTGTAATTGTACGCATATACATATCCCAAAAATGACAAAATATTAAGTGCCTTGTAACTGCTCCTTGCCCGACACCATCCTTGAACGATACCACTGTTTAAGTGCCTTGTCCCTGCTAGACAAAAGTAACATATATAAGAAACATAATGAGATTTGTTATATCCAACTACAATAAAAATTTTAAGAATTTATTAGAATTTTCAATCTATGTCAAAGGAAAGCCAGAAATTGCGATATGGTTCTATTTGTAGGACTTCATTCATAATAGAGTCAGCTATCCAGATTTCCTAAAAATATTAACCTCAACAAGAAGTCTATGCCATGTATGTCAAATGAATCATCTTCACAATTATAACGATCATATTGAATAATGTATAATGCCTTTCATAAGATAATAGAATGGTATTCCAAGAATGTTAATAATCTGCTTGTGTGTCATCTGAGACAACTGACCCTGTGCATAGCATTAGGCATTTGCCGATTTATCAGTTCTTATGATCCCGTGCAGGAGACCCTAGCGGCTTAATCACTTGCTCATGTGTTATATGCCCCTTGTCGCTCACTTGCTCCAATTAATAAAAGAACAGATCTATTGTACAATGATCCAAATGTGACAAAGTATAACCATCCCAAGTGCTACAATGAACTATATATACAAAGATGTAACATATTAAAAATGGTAAGACAAGCAGTGTGGTGCTATTTTATCACATAAATAATTTAGGATATCATAAGAAATAAGCCTCCAGCTCAACCTAAAACATTAAAGCCTAATGCAACCTTCATAGCCGAACATATGTCCATAACAGCCCACAACAAACATCAACACTTTAAAAATCCTATTTTTAGAATCCTTTAGTCTCGTCACAGCACAGTTCAACATATATTGAAGCCTAAATCTTCATCTACAGTCCAAACAACATAATTTCAGAGCCAAGACACTATCAGTCTCCAATGGAAAATCCAGAAAGTATAGCCTAGAATCCTCAAACAGAATGTTGACATTTGAGTCCAAATTTGTATACAAACAGAATGTTGTGTTATTTATGTTTTACTACAAGTACTATTCCACACTACTTACATTCCTTTTGCCGGTGGGCTGCATTTCATGATGCAAGTACAAATGTTGAGAGTATTCAAACTATCAGCTAGGCATCAATTTGTATTTCAGTTGTGGTGGGTGAGCCTCACTTCTACCCGAGGCTAAGTCTAATACTAGTTTTGGCGAAGGATGCTGGGCAAAATGGTTGCACTCTGGAATAAAATATCAGTGCAACACTCGAGTACAACATCTCAGGAAATACATCATGAAAAGTATACAACAAGAATCAAGTGGACATCACACGAAATTGGGTGCAAAAATAGTATATCTGTACACTGCTGGACAGTAAACTTGAACTGCAGTCTTTGGCGACACAATTCAGTCACATTGGATACAAAGTGGGATAAAATCTCAATGCAGCATGATAGTAAGCCAACTCAACATGAAATACATGCAAAGGTCTCAACAAGAAGTACAGAGAGTTTATAATACTCAACAAGGAAGAATACTCAACTAATCCTTGAGGAACTTGTTTATAATACTCTTAAGTAAAATATCTTAATCCTCGTAGTCTCGTCATTCCAGACAAACCAGGTTCCTCAACCCCAAGTAGCCTCAGAACAAACTATCCAAAAAAAAAAAAATACTCAATCAATGAGTAACTGTCGTTCTCAACATACTGTGTTTCACTTTTAAGACCATAAGAAAAAGTGAAAGTGTGTACATAATATAAGTGCCAAAATATTAAGTAATATTGTCAGACAGAAACCTCAAATAGTCAAAATTGATCATAATCCTTCAAATGCAGCATTATCTTCAAATGCAGCATTATCACCAACATGAACTAACAAAAGTTAATATCCCACTTATCTGCAGAACCTGATATGCAGGACCAACCAATTATCATTTCATTCCTCAACTTATCAAACATTATTACATCAGATCACACATGTCAAATAGAACCAACACATTACTAAAACCAGAGATACTAACACATTACGTACTAAAACCAACCTTTTTGTTGAAATAGAACCAACACATTACTAAAACCAGAGATACCAACACATTACTAAACCCCTAAACATGAAGTCACTACTGAAGGAAGGAAGAAGAAATGCCGAGAAGGAAGAAGAATTGTTAAGAAGGAGCGGAGCAAGTACCTGTTGTTGTTGCATCCTGGTCAAGAAACTAGCAAATTGTTCCTGCATCTTCTTCTCCACTTCTAGAGAGATCCTCTTGTCTGCTTCTGCATTTGCGTGTTGACGCTACTCATTTGGGTGTTGACGCTCCTCTGCCAACTTCCTTTCCAACTCAATTTCCATATTTCTTCGCAACTCGGCAGCCATTTGTTCACGTTCTTCTTGCAACTTCCTATCCATCTCGACTTGCATCTCTTGACGCACAATATCAATAGCAGAAGACACGCTGGCCTCTATGTTTGCCTGCTGAATGTTACTCTTTTTAGGAGGCTTCTTTCCGTATCCTTTTCCACGAACATAGCCTGTTCTCTCACCAACAACGGAGGATAAAATCTCATCTCTAGTCATGGGATGCTCGATCTCCTCAGATTGTTGCTGAGCGACAACTTCCTGGAGTTGACCCTGAATTTATGCATAATAATTTAAATCAAAACATAATAAAACATATTAAATGAAACTTACAAAAACAGAGAACTTTATAAGTGTTTTTAGATAATTACATGAATTTGTTGGGATTGTGAATCCAACCACACCAGTTCGCCTCTATCATCCTTGCGGGTATGTTGGATCTCCCAAACTTTATCTGGTGTGTCCAATTCTCCAGTAATAGGATTTCTCTGCAATATAGTTACGGAAAAAAATATATAAGTAAATATATAAATATGTAAATAACAAAGAAGCATATGTGATAGTAGGGGACTAAATATATTTTTACCGTAGATTCCTCTACTTCTGCAAAGACTTTGTACCACAAGTATGCTTAATTATTTGTTTTTCTCTATTTCTTTTATTCCTCTCACTTACAACCTGTAAGTAAACAGATTAATAAATCATCATTCAAAGAGACAATCTTCAGGTATTAAGTTAATACCTTAAATTCCGGACTTTCAAAATATTGTATTAGGTATTTCCAAAATAAGTCTCCACCCGACCCATAATTCTTGCAACTCTTCAATCATTGGTTGTAAATATACATCGATATCATTGCCTGGACACTTGGGGCCCGGAATAAGAAGCGTCATCATGAAATANTACTCTGCTGTGCAGTTTCTCGACAGCAGCAGATTTTATTGGCGAAGGCACAACAACAAGTTTATGAGGTGATTGGATATGCTAAGCAACTGAAGGTTCATATTTTTTCCAAAGGAAAGAATCCAAATAACCTCAGGCAAAGAGAAACAGGAGCAACAACATCTATGAGAATACGAATGGGACAACTACATGCACATCTGGGACAAATATGCAGGACAGATCATTTGGTGGTGTATTTTAATGTGCACCTTGATAGTATCAGCTCTTACAGAGAGCCAGGCAATAGGAAAACAAATGAGGCATCAGCAGCTTGCAGGACAACTCTATGGTATACTGATGAGAACCATTGGTTTAGGCATCAATTTTGTCGAAATATAGCAGATCATGGGAGCAACACTGGGATGCAGGCTAGGACATCAATGTATAAGGAAGACAACAGGACAAAGATCACATCAACAGTTGAAGAAATTTCACAGGAGCACAAGAGCAAAAATACAACAGCTGGAAAATATGAAAAAACAGCATGGGTCATTTGGCATACTGATTCGAGGATCATTATCACAATCTGGGGTACAAACATGATGTTGCAAAGCAAGGAGACATACAAAGAAGTGTTTCAAGCAATGGTCACAACAAATGAAAGGTGGAAGCCAGTAAAACATCAAGGCAAAGTTGATACAAAAATGGGCTATTTGTGTAAATTCTGGGCAATGAGGATTACTAAACTTACATGAATTTGTTGGGATTGTGAATCCAACCACACCAGTTCGCCTCTATCATCCTTGCGGGTATGTTGGATCTCCCAAACTTTATCTGGTGTGTCCAATTCTCCAGTAATAGGATTTCTCTGCAATATAGTTACGGAAAAAAATATATAAGTAAATATATAAATATGTAAATAACAAAGAAGCATATGTGATAGTAGGGGACTAAATATATTTTTACCGTAAATTCCTCTACTTCTGGAAAAGACTTTGTACCACAAGTATGCTTAGTTATTTACTTTTCTCTATTTCTTTTGTTCCTCTCACTTACAACCTGTAAGTAAACAGATTAATAAATCTCCTCTTACACCAACCCTTAGCTTGAACACGGTATTCATACACCCTTTACAAGGACACCGAATCATAGTGTTCACCGTTGATTGACTGAATGCTCAATTAAGAAAATTGTCTAATCCATCTCTATATCTTTGGTCGACTCTATTCCTAATATTCAACCAACTTTTATCCATCATATCTATATTAAAAAAATAAATAAATTAATTTACTAATTAAAAGGGGAAGGATTATAATAATCAAAATATATATAATAACTAACATATACCAGGGGTATTCAGACAAGCAGTCACAAAAACACATTATTCAAACAAGAAGGAAGCAGTCTATTCCAGAATTACTTATACGAATTGTGTGCAATGAAGAACAAGTTCAAGCCAGGGTATGTACCACTCTATGAAACTACAAAAATACATGACCTTAGTAATGTGTTGATTAAGTTTCTGCCAGGTAATATGCAAGATTGACAACTTCAACAAACAGTATTCAGAAATCATATAACAAAATTTCTTTCGCTGGACGAGATCAGAAGATAGTTAAACGGGCAGAGAAATTACGAGGAAGAAGCATTTCTGGTGATCTTCTGCTTCTTTTCTCTGCAAAGAGGAATATTGCAGAGGAAATGTTCTGGAATGAAACTATGAAGACAAAATATTCGAAGATTTTAAAACAGGCAAAAGCTATTCAAAGATCAAACTACGAAGACAAGAAAACTCCTGGGATTCTTTAACTGAGTGAATCAGTCAATCTAATTGCTAAGAGTGAAACTAATCCCATACCAAGAAGAGACCTGCCAGAACCAAAATTGTGTTTTCAATGACAATAATCTTGAGCGGCTTAGGAGAACAGCAAATAAACAAAGACCGATCCATTTCATAGAAAACTTGAACCCAACTTAAAACACTTCAATTCGACTACTGAGCCCTCATTTAAATACGACGAAATCAGCAGAACAATACAACATGCCATGAAATCAGACAAGCTGGCCACATAAACTTCATCACTGTCAAGTCTTTAAGGAATTAACAATATTCAATCAGATTCATACTATTCCTTTAAATCTCGAGCACGACAAGGAAGAACCAAGCTTCGCTATGGGGTACAAACTGAACTAGTTTAAAATACGACCCGACTAAAGCTTGGCAGGGAGTTGTACAGTTCTAAATGCCGAGTCTAAAAGATTAGGGATTTTAACATACCTGAGTTGTTAAAATTTCACTTCTATATTTTCTTGCCCTTTGCCGGCTTCCGCAGCTGTGTACAAGTTCTTGAATGCTTGAAGTTGAAGAAGCTTTGAATCGAAAGACCCTAGTAGTCTTCTTCTTCGCACAACTTGATTCACAAATTCAAACCAAAACTCGTCAAACCAGCTTCCAATCTTAAGATTTAGCTTCAAAATAAAGTTTCCGGAAAGTATCATAAACACCCAATCGAATTCACATTCTGATTTGAGGGATTTCGATTTGGGTGAGATTTTTTAGTGATTTCGATTTGGGATTTCTATTATCTGGACAGATTTCTAGCTAGAGAGGACCGATTTTGGGTTTCTATTTGGGATTTCTAGCTATAGAGGACCGATTTTGGGCGCTTCTCTGTTCTTCACATCGAGTCGATGCCTCCGAGATGAGAGTTTCGCTACTTCGGCTCTGGACTGATTTTAGTGTTTCATTTACTGATTATTTTCTTTTGTTACAATAAATATGGAGCTAAAATTTTAATTTTAGCGGGAGTGAAAATTTCAGCCACTTTAGACGCGACCTATAAATAGTCGCTGCTAAATTTATTCAAACTGTGGCGATTTTTAAAGTGCTACTACATGTTGCAACTAATTATCCAATTTCTTGTAGTGAAGGTAAGTCTCTTGTCTAATCTTGTAAGAGGGAACTATCCTTGTAGGTGTTTTAAAAATTTATTAATAATTGTGGGTGCTACGTATGCACGATGTGACGAGAGTCTGTATGTAGCTAAAATCAGGCTTATGTCCGGATAGATTTAGGACTTTACCATGTATTAATTGTATTATTTGCACCCAACTTGCTAGTTTAATTACCTAAATTTATAATTGAAATAGGATAAAGGATTGTAAAAGACTGAGCTTCCTTTCTTTGAGTTTTGACAGAATACTTGATTGTTAGCGGAATTTATGCCTTCTTTGAGTAATATTCCTATATAGTAGTAATTGATCAGAGTTTGTAGAGTATTCTCTATTCATCTGGATCGGGCCGAACGTCTCGGCAGTGTATTAGATGCATCTATGGTTCGCATTAGTCGACCCACAATAGTGTACACATTATTCTGGATCGGGTTGTACGACCTCGGCATAAATCGTGCGCGATATTGCTCGGAGTCCGATTATACTTGATATTCCTTTCTTTATTTGAGACTTGAAAATTACTTGGTGTCTCTTATGTGTTAAAGACTTGGTCTGTGACATTTGGAGACTTTAAATTGATATTATGTTTAAGAATCATTATTTACTTCTTCTTATTTCATTGTTATTGTTGCATTTCATGCCTACTTATGATTTTTATTAACCTTTAGTAAGTGTCGATGTCGACCCCTCGTCACTACTTCTTCGAGGTTAGACTAGATACTTACTGGGTACATATTATTTATGTACTCACGCTGCACTTTTGCACTAATCATGTGTGATCTGAGGCAGGTGCATCTGGTGGCCAGTCAGGCACGTACCCCCGCTACCCGGAGGCTTAGTGGTGAGCTGCTTCCTATGCCCTGTTCTGTAACACCCGAAGTCTCTTCCTTGTTGTATTTATTTTTCTGTTTATCTTACTCCAGACAGTATTATAGGAGGTTTTGTATATTCTACTAGTTTGCTCGTACACTTGTTACACCGGGTTCTGGGAGATTCTAGTAGACATTTATGGTTTTGATTACTAAATTCACTACTTCACTCTTATATTTATTTTATGCTTTACATTACTACAGTCACCTACTATTGTATCTTTATTAAATAAAATCAATGACTTAGAAATATGAAACGAGCAATTAAATGGATAGTTCCCCGTTGGACTGCCTAGCAGCGACGTTGGGCACCATCACAGCTATAGTGGGAATTGGGTCGTGAAAGCTTAGTGTCAGAGCTCTAGATTCACATAGGTCTCACAAGTTATGAGCAGGCCTAATAGAGTCTTGGGCATCGGTGCGGATACGTCCGTACTTATCTTCGAGAAGCTATAGGGTGTAAGGAAACTCCTATCGTCCAGTTGATGTTGTGCTAAGTATCTTTCTCTTATTCTCTCACAGATGGTGAGAACATGTGCGGCAGATGTACCCGACGGTGGAGGATCTCCTCACCCTATTGCTAGAGGCCGAGGTAGAAGCCGAGTGAGGGCTCCAGCTCCTGCTAGAAGACGAGAGTGTCCTAGAGTTGCTCCTGTTGTGCCACCAGCGGATCCAGTGAAAGATCCTGTTATTGAGGAGTAGGACGAGGTACCTGCAGTTGAGCCGGCCCCGACAGATTTCATGTCCGCACAGGGATGGTCATGGGCTGTATGCTGCGGTTCATGGACTTTATGAAGCAGGCTGGTTTATTTCCAGCGGACACAGTCACATCTCAGGCGGGAGGGGGAGCATAGACCCCTACTGCTCAGGCTCCAGGGCTTGCCGCTGCTGTACATCAGACCCTAGGTGCACTACTTGCGGGCGGGGCTCAGCTAGTTGCAGTGGCTATACAAGATCCCAGACCGGCCACGACTAGCAAACCGTAAAAGTTGTTGGATAGATGGACTAGGCTACATCCTCCTACCTTTGGCGGTAAGTGACATGAGGACCCCCAGGACTTTATTGATCGTTGCAAGTATAGACTACACAACATCAGTGTATTGGAGTCCCACGGGGTGGACTTCACTATATTTCAGTTGGAGGGCAGGGCCCGTAGAAGGTGGCAGTCCTATCTTCTCAGCAGACCAGCAGGTTCTCCTCCCCTGACTTGGGACCAGTTCACACGTCTCTTTCTGGAGAGATATATTCCACCCTCTCAGAGAGAAGAGCTACGGGGTCAATTCGAGTGGCTCTAGTAGGGTCAGATGTTTGTGACCGATTATGAGGCGAGATTCTCTGAGTTATCTCGCCGTGCAGAAATAGTGCGGAGGTTTATTGCGGACTTTTACTATGATATCCAGGTTACTATGGCGCGAGAGATTGACATGAGGACTCATTACGAGCAGGTTGTGGAGATAGCTCGGAGGATCGAGGGTATCCGTCAGCAGGGCCGAGAGCATACACCGAGGGACGAGCATCCTCGATATTCTGGAAGGTTCAGTAGTGTCCCGCCTAGGGGAAGAGGTCAGTTTGTGAGGGGCCAATCTAGCAGGCCCACGTATTCAGCACCACTTCCTACACGGGGTGCTCCAGTGCGGCCCTATTTCAGCGCCATTCCAGAGATCTCCTACCGTCCACCGGCTATTCCCGAGAGGTTGCTATGAGTGCAGGGAGCTTGGTCATATGAGGAGATTCTGCCCCAGGCTTCAGGGCAAGGCAGTATAGCAGGGCCATCATCCCATGATCACCACACCAGTTGCACCACCAGCTGTTCGGCCGACCAGAGGCTGAGGGCAGGTGGGTAAGGGTCGCCCTAGAGGTGGAGGCCAGTCAGGTGGCGCTCCAACTAGGTTCTAAGCTTTTCCATCCAGACCAGATGTAGTAGCCTCAGACGCTGCAATCACAAGTATTATTTCTATCTGCTGTAGGGATGCTTCTGTACTATTTGATCCAGGGTCTACGTATTCATATGTTTCAACTTTATTTTCTCATTATATGGGTGTCTCTCATGAATATTTGGTTTCTCTTGTACATGTTGTCCATGCCAGTGAGTGATTCTGTTATTGTGCATCGGGTCTACCGGTCATGTATTATGACTTTCTGCGGATATGAGACCAGAGCAGATCTTCTGTTGCTCGACATGACCGACTTTGAGGTCATCCTAGGTATGGACCGGTTGCCTCCCTACCATGTCGTTCTTGATTTCCATGTCAAGGCTGTTACTTTGGCAATGCTAGAGTTGCCTAGATTGGGGTGGAGGGGTTCATCTATTAGTACATATCTCTTTCTTGAAGGCTCGACATATGGTCAAGAACGGTTGTTTGGCCTATCTGGCTTATGTTCGGGATACGGCTATAGAGACTCCCACGATTGATTCAGTGCCCATTTCTCCCATATGTTCTCTTCTGATTTACTAGGCATGCCACCAGATCGTGATACCGATTTCAATATTGATTTGGCGCCAGGTACGCAGCTATCCCTATTCCACCGTAGCGCATGACTTCAAAAGAATTGAAGGAGTTGAAGGAACAACTTGAGGAGTTTCTCACGAAGTGGTTCATCAGGCCGAGTGTGTCGCCTTCGGGTGCACCGGTATTGTTTGTGAAGAAGAAGGATGGGAGTATGCGGATGTGCATTGATTACCTCCAGTTGATCCAAGTTACCATTAAGAACAAGTACCCATTGCCACACATTGATGATTTATTTGACTAGTTGCAAGGTTCCAGGGTGTTCTGCAAGATCGATATGAGATCTGGGTATCATCAGCTAAAGATTCATGCTTCGGATGTTCCGAAGACGGCTTTCCGAACTGGATATACAGGCACTATGAGTTTCTAGTGATGTCCTTCGACTCGACCAATGCCCCGGTGGCGTTTATGGATTTGTTGAACCGCGTGTCCAGGCCATATCTTGACTCATTTGTCATTGTCTTCACTGATGACTGACGAGTGCAATACACACACTTAAATATGCTCGCTAGTCGGATATAGTAAATTATAATATCGTATCCGGAGGGATTGAATTTAAATAGTATTATCGTAGTTTATAGCTTAATTTCTATCCAAAAGATCAACAATGGAGATTATGTGATTTAAGCTAAAATTAACTAAGAGTCTAAGCTACCGACTAATGACAAACAACGCAAGTATTAAGCAAAGAAGGTATCAATTTGGGGAAAATAGGATTGATAGGATAGGTGCAAGATAAATGTTTGGGATTTAACTCTAGATAATTCACTTCTAATGTTCAAGTGAGTCTCTCGAACTCACTTGGTTATTAATTCAACTGTTTATTAGAAACTTCTCTCTCGATTAAGTCTCAACCTCACAAGATGAACTAATTTAAGATCGGTGAAGCTATGTACGAATCCGTAGTGGATTGGTCTTTAGGAGAACCTCTCTCGATTATCCTCCTAACTAAGTTTAATCAACAATTCCACTAGCCTTTTTCGATTACTAAGATGAATTAGTGACTTCACCTGACAAAATATAATGCAAAGATATCACTAGTTATGCCTCTCTCGATTATATGAACAAGTGAATATATATGCAACGGTTAAAACATCCAAAACGATTTCAATACACAATACTATAATTAATATCCACAAACAAGTATCAAGCACCTAATCCCTCAAACCATAAAGAGAACTACTCCATAGATATGGAGCAATTCATCGTAACAATGCTTAAATCAAAGGAAAACATAAAACGATCCAAACTCTTGTCTTGAGTGAAGATTGAATGATGAAATCTTGGTGCTTTTGCTTCTCCATCTCCTCCTTAGCTTTCTTAGGTATAAGATGTGCCAAAAGTACTCAAAATAACGTTTTTACATGTATTTATTTATACTAAGTAGGGTCGGGTCCAGATGAAAATACCTTTTCCTGCACGAAATAGGATTCCAGCTCTAT